AATGTTTTTTCTCCAACGACAGAAAAATAATCAACATGACCGTAATGCCATAGCTGTGATGAAGGATGGAAAGAAAGTAGCAAGTTTACAAAGTGATGTTCTCAAAAGTGCTAGCTCCCGTTATGGATTCACAGTCAGCGAAATACTATGTTTTGAAACCAAGGCTAAGTGCGTCAAACCACTCACCAAGGTATGGATCATTGCAATATTGCAATATTGGATTCATCGTGAATGAAGAGAAAGCAGAACGTGTGCGCCACATGCTGCGTGGTTCATCTTACGTCGTTAAGTTCCAATGAGTTTTTACGTAAAAACACAAACAAAGCGACCCTTTTCAGGGCCACCACACACTCCAAAAAGAGAACTACCGTAACAAACACACTATTTAAATAAATCAAACGCGTTCGTTTTTGACAAATAAAACTTTATTGTTGACCCTGTTCTTGGCTAAAAATCACCCTGGGCGTTTAACAGAGGATGTCCCCAACATGTAACTTTTGTGAAAACAGGGGGTGGGCGCTTGCCCAGGGAGGGGCGCGTGCCCGGGGTAATACGGTATGTTGATCGGTAATATACAATATAATCTGTGGAAAAAGTTCCAAGAATAAAGTGTGTATAACCATTCTATATAATCTATGGAAAAAGTTCCAAGAATAAAGTGTGTATAACCATTCTTTTATATCTTCAGGTCTGTGAAGAGATTGGACTTTTAGAAAAAGATTATTTTGGTCTCAGGTATTCAGGAAGAAAGGGAGAGAAACTGTGGATGAATTTACGTAATCCACTGAAACTTCAGCTCAGAGGCAGGCAACCATACAGACTGTGTTTACAAGTTAAATATTTTGTACATCCTCAAGAACTACAGCAACCAAGTACCAGGTGAGTAGTGGTGCATTATGGGTGAGTGGTGTATTGTGGGTACTTGTGCATTGTGGGTTAGTGGTGCATTACGGGTAATGTTACATTTAAGTTGGTGGTACATTGTGGCTAATGATACATTATAGGTTGGTGGTGCATTGTGGGTGAGAGGTGCATTATGGGAAATGGTGCATTATAGGTTATTGGTACATAATATAATGTCCTGCAGATTTCTCTAATTTATTGAAAGCAAAATTATTAGTCACACTCAGTAAAATCTCCAAAAAATGAAAACCAGAGGTTAATAATATGTTTTCTGTAAACCAAGCTAGGGGGCTCTCTAATAAAGGCAGGCTTCCTAGGTAGCCTCCATAATATTTCTCTTTTCTGATAGGTTATTGACCGGAGTTGTAGAAGTGGTATAACAGTGCTGTGAATGACAAAACACAGATTACTGTTAGCTGTTCTTCGGTAATCACGTGGGTACACGTACACATAATTGCTATGTTCACACGACAGCATTCTATCAGAGCTTAAGGAAATTATCATGACTTCTGTCAGCTATTTGCTCAACAGATAACACTTGAGGAGTGTATCAGGGGATTATTGAATATGAATATTTAATGTGATCGGACATTCGCGGATGAGTTCACTCCCCTATCCATTAATATGAGTTACAAAATGTATCAACACGAATCAAATCAATGCAGCATATGTCAAAATAAATTGGCCATTGCTGGTTTGGCCATAATATACTGTTATTGTTGCCTACTTTTGCATGTTTAAAAAAAAGGGTCAGCTTTGTATTCAACTAAATTTTGGTAAGGTTTTTCCGAAAAAATTAGAATTTACTGAAGCTTAAATTTAATGTTGTCGTTAACCACGTGTTATCGGGTATGTGGACCAACACAGGAAATTGAACAGATTAGCAGAAATGAAAAATGCGACTGCCAAAATAAACTGACAACACTGCACAGACCTCTGACATCAACTGTACAGAACAAAAATTATTGCTAGACATCGCGAAGGTGAGACTGTTCACAGTAACCAGTGTGACGGCAGTCGGCTGAAGTCAGCGAGATGAAAGGCTTATGAACACAAAAGAATAATTAGCTGAAAACAAAAAAATTCAAATAGGATTAAAACCAGTCAAGTTACTTTCTTTCAGCTCCATGGTCACCACTGAGGTCTATGTCTTCATTGTTGAGTATAAAACACCTGTTCATTGTTGCTGAGAAACTCTCAATATTATACAGTGTCAATAAACTTGAGATGATTACTTTGATAAGTGTACATCCTGTTTATATGTGCACAGTTCAATATGTTAATATTTGTAATACTCTTATGTGTCACAACAGTCTACTTTGACCCTCTTTTGATACAAATTATTGATAAGTATTCGTCTTGTTCTTTGATCATTTCAAAACTGATTGCTGTTGCTTTTCTTTGACTGATATGGTCTTATACTGAATATGTTTTTTGAGTGAAATATGATTTTTTTGATGTTGGTAAAAATTAATTGAAATGTCAGCACAATTATGACAGTCATGTACTACATGTACAAGTCGTCCTATGTATAAACATGTTTTCTGTGACTTTCTTGAGGTATAAATTCACTACATGTATATCTGAAAATTTCTCAAGTTGATGTTGTTGAAATTCAAAATTGTATGATCCTAAAGCCTGGAATTACAAATTCTGGCCAGAATCCAGAAATAGTCAAATTAAGTAACAAAATGATTTATTTTATATTAAATAGTGTCTGAATAATTCAGTAAATTGTATTAAATAAGCAAAGTAAAAGAATATATGTGATTCAGTGAAACAAAATAACCATTTAGTGGGTCATGTATAAAGGAGGGACCAGTGTGCCATTTAACATGACTGATCGAGTTTTGTCATTATCTTGACGACTAATTCAAGAAAAAAATAAAATTGCATTTTGGCTCCTGATTTCCTTTGTATAATATTTGTGCTTATTTTGTTTATAGAATGTGAATTTCATTTCACCTAATTACGTGACTATGGTTTGATGTTTTTCAAGATCACTATATCAATATAAGATTTGTTTCTGTCAGTGGCATGTCATAATGACTTAAATGGCATAGGGCATGAGACTCACATTCTAATGCATTAGTCAGATGGTTAGGGGGTCATATATAAGACATGGGACTCGCATTCTAATGCATTAGTCAGATGGTTAGGGGGTCATTTATAAGACAAGGGACTCACATTCTAATGCATTAGTCAGATGGTTAGGGGGTCATTTATAAGACAAGGGACTAACATTCTAATGCATTAGTCAGATGGTTAGGGGGTCATTTATAAGACAAGGGACTCTCATTCTAATGCATTAGTCAGATGGTTAGGTGGTCTTTTATAAGACAAGGGACTCGCATAGATGATTCAGTATCTAGCAATGCTTGTACGCATGTCCTTTCTCATCACTTCCTGTTTGTGATAACAAACCTAAACACAGAATAATTTAATAAATTTTTGCTCACTTTTTTTTTCAGGCACCAGTATTATCTCACCTTAAAATCTCTTTTATTGGAAAATCATTTTGAACTGACAGAAGAAGAGCAGACCAAATGTTGGTCTTTGATAGCACAGTCTGAGTATGGAGACAAAGTGGAGGATCAACCTGTAGACTACCAGAGGATACTCCCAAATGTCAGGTATGAGTTTACTTCAGAACAGCGCCCTCACTGTGCTATATATGTTTAGGCATGCATAGCGCCCTCAATGTGAAATAGCTTTACATTTAATTGCTACCATGCATTGAAGATTACATATCATTATTTTGATAGTTTTAGCGAAAAATAATTGACAAAATTTATATAATTTAGTGATTTTCTCCCATAACGACATTTTGCATTTTTTTCCATATTTGTCATTGATTTTTTTGTTAAGTTAAATTTCATGTTTTGTACAGGTCAAATTGATCTAAATGTTTAAAAACTAACTTTCACTTTCAAAGGGTTTGAAAACAGTTTAAAAATGTTATAGAATAAAAGATGTTTTTTATACATATTTTATTGTCAAGTAAAATACCCACACTGTTTTGAAATTTCAAGGATCGATAGTTTTTGTGTAAAATTGTCAAAAAAATCCTGATCTGTAAACTGTTTTCACTGCTAATTTAATTGTAATTGTTAGAACAAAATTTCATAAAATCAACTTTGTGTCATGCAATTAAAGTGGTTTATATCATATCAGTTGTTTGTGTTGATTGCAGTGACAGCCACTACCCAGCAATTATTGAAGCTCATCGATCTCTTAATGGCCTAACACAAAGCTATGCAGAAATAGAATTCCTTAAACTGGTCAGTGAATTGGATTCTTATGGTGTGGAATTCTTTATTGTACGTAGTGAACAAAGACAGAGTGTAACTATTGGTGTTAATAGTACGGGTTTACAGGTACTACCTAATGAGAAGTTGAATGAGACACAAAAGTAAGTTTTAATATCAATAGGCAGCAGACAAAGAGTGCCATTGAGTTTTCATTGAGAATGCAAAAGTCACAAAACTTGTTTCGGCCTCTAAATATTGTTCCATTCTCTCCTGACATTGCATCACCAGAATTACTATTTCAGGTAAAAAACAAGTCGTGTGGCTCTCTCACTCAATGAGATCTCAGCAGCCATTTTCTCTCAATCTCAATGAGATCTCGGCGGCCATTTTCTTCTAAGATCTGTTATAAAAACCAGGACCTTTTACTCGATTTGTTTTTTACATGTAGAACTGGAAGTAATTTGAATGAATAGTTGAAACATGTATTGTTTGATTGTTAATGAAATTTTATTCTAGACACAACATATAATTTGACAGTTTTTGAACTTACAACAAAGCAAACATTACTGACAATTAAGCAACATTGATGTAATTCATCACCAATGTGAGGCTATGTAGTGTAATCATGAATATTCACAATGAAGTTATTGATGCGAAGCAAATTCAACAATGTAGTAATATGAAGCAACAATCATATAACATAAATTCTATATGAAAGCTCTGTTGTAATAATAGTGATGGACTCGCCTCAAAGAAACACATTGCTCCTTTTAGCCTTTCCACCACCATTCCCTTTTTTCTTCACAAATTCACAAAAAATGTTCATAGTCCGCACTTTCCTTTTAAAATAGCCAAGTTTTGTAAGGATAAACTGAAAATTGACTCCAATTTTGTCTGTTGGCTCCAAAATTAAGGTTCATTTCCAGAAATATTTAATATTGAAGAATAAAAGAAAAAGTATGGAATAATTTGGGCGAGAAAGTCCGGGGGGGGGGGGGGGTGAAATGGTTAAGCATGGCTGTTTCACCTTGCTTGCACCTTGTTTGAATATTCCAAAAACTAATAAAGGTTATTGATATGTTAATTTTTACCATCGTAACAAAATAAATATGCGAGAAGGAGGGAGAGAGGGGAGGGTGTGACGTTCATTTCCTATTTCACTGTACATTTAATTTTGTCTTTTGTTTTTAAAAAACGCAAGTCCGATTTCTTTGATATTATACATATAGGTACTACATGTGGCCTTCTCTCGGATTTGTTCATTTCGTGATGATATCTTCAATTCTCTAATTTTGATGAATTTTTTTTATCATTTTTGGTAATAAGTTTTTTTGTTCCCACAGAATTCCGTTTGAGGATATAAGCAGAGTATCTTACCATCACAACCGATTTGTTGTGCATTATTACAAAAGAGCAACAGAAACAGATCGCGAGTCGTCAACTACATGTCTTAAATACAGTCTTCCATCTCGCAGAGCAGCACAGGGTTTATTTCGTGCATTTACAGAAACACATACATTTTTCAGGGTAAGATTCTAGAGTACTGTAGATAATTTATTTTCACTCGGAATTTATTTTCATAAACCTTTTCAGTGCCATATTTATTTGCCTATTTTTATCAGAATCATACATACTTGGTTACAGGTGCACATCATTTCAACTACTCCTTAAAAATGGTCTTGTTTGGATTTTGTATATTACATTATTTTTTAGTGATTGAACTAAATATGCTCAGCCCCTTTCAGTACAGTGACTGATTATAGCACAACTAATAAGCTTAAAGTACATCAAAACTTCCAGATTGCTACTAGTGATGGAATTTGGCTTTAAATACAGAACATTGCATTGTCAATGCATTTGTTTTAATAAGTTTTCTGTGATATTATAAACTTCAATAATGTGGATTACATTGTCATATTGTGCATCCTAAATAACAATTAGTCGCAATGATTCTTGTTCAAAAGTAAAATCTAAATTGTTATTAATTTTCCTATTTTATTATTTTCCTATTCTTATTATTTTTTATATCTTGAATATTTCTAGCACAGGAGTTCTGTCGAAGATTTTTCTTGTTTCTTAATTCATATTTGTTTTTGTGATGATAGTCTTCATAACATAATTTGCTTGTTTCTTTCAGTGTGAAAGAGTTGAGTCAGTTGTCAGACAGCAGCATTCACATACAGGTCTAGGATCACTGGTAGCATTGGTAAAACCAACAACCTGTAAAGGGAAAATCTTTCAGTTTGATGTACAGAAAACAAGACGACAGGCATATGACAGTACATGGAGCAAACTACATCCACATAGCTGTAGTGTTTACACACTTGTAAGTACATTTCTGAAAAAGTCATTACAACACTTCCGCTAATTCTTCGTCAGTCAATAAGGGCAAATTTCATGTAGATTTGGCTAAAATATATCGTGTTACTTTCTCTACCAATGGCTAAAGAGATTTAAGCTATAAACTATTCCATGAAAATTGTAATCATTTAAAAGCATGTCATCCACAAAAATGTAAATTAAACGTAAAGAAAATGTATTGCTTGATATAAGCACATTTCAATTTCCAATTTTTCTTTGACAAACTCATGATTCTTTTTTTCCCTCATGTAGAAAGTGGCTAATAAATTTAAAAATTGGTGAAAAAAACAATAAGTATCAGCCAGCTGTAGCTAGTTTATCCCAGTTTTAGAAAAGTAATTTGCTTTCAACCATTGCATTGTGTGTTAACTCGCCCATGCTGAGGCTGTGACTGATATTACGTCATCTACCGCACATCATGTGGCAAGTCATATTGATCAAGGTCTTAGTAAATATTACTTACTAAATGTTGGCATCCATGCCAAAGCCCCCAACAATTATTTGCCTGATATCAGGATTATTAAATGTTTGACTCCAATATGTACCATGGAGTCTTTGCAATATAATCTGTCTGTTACACCAATATCTCAAGAACCACTCTTCAAAATTTAATGAAACTTAGTGTATAGATTTGCTGAACTAATGCAAGACATGATCAGTTTTTGCTTAAAACAGCTCAAATTTTCAACTGTTCCACTGATATCTCAAAAGCCACTCATTAGATTTCAATGTAACTTGTTGCATATGTGCTCTTGGGTAATCCACACACCTGATTTGTTTAGGTTTGAAATCCATTCATATTATTTAATATGCGTGAATGTTTGCTATTTCTAGATGCCTTCAATATTTGTAGCACACAGCAAGTTCTTTTTAAGCCTTCTTTGAACACTAGTGTTTCTTGATTGATAAATGTAAAATCAGTCACATGTAGACATCAATGATTATGAAAATCAAGTTGAACTTTGATGATGGCTTCCATCTTGAACAATCGTATCTCAACGAATAATGCTCTGTATAAGCAGAATTGGTCAATACACTCTTCACTTGATTACATACAGCCTTGATGTTCCTAGTATTTATGAAAGTGAAGGCATGTTAATAAAGTACATTTGTTGTTTGCAGGGTTCAGAGCTGTCATTAGCTGAATCAATTCAAGGTGCTTCCAGTAACAGTGCTGGTTCATGGGATCTCAGATCTGGTACTCTAGAAAGATACATATCTCAGAATATTGCTTTCATTAAAACAGTCGATGATAATATTGAAGAGGAGTCTAGTATTATGTCTACGGACCAGTCAAAGGTAATTTACTGTCATATGAGTGTTTTAAATGGAGAGGACTGAAAATAAATTTATTTAATTTTTGGAAAATGTAATTTATTATTTGTATTATACTGACTGATAGTATCCAATTAACTTTTTCATCTCCTGTTTATTCACAAAAGAGTCAAGTTTATAGTCTGCAATTTCTTTCAGAAGATTGGGACAAAAATAACCAAATTGTTTGAGTGAAACTGAAAATTGACCTGGTTTATGACTTATAATGACACAAAACTGCAAAAGGAATTATTGGCTCAGCACAAAATGAAAATTACTACACTTGTTTAATAAATCCCATATCGCATGGTCACTCATTGGAGATCCTCTTTATACTGGTAAAACCATTTCACTGACATTTAATTTAATTATTTTGATGTTTTTAGCATATTCACTGTGTTTTAATTTCACAAATTTGTCAAGGAAATTTTATTGTTATTTCACATTCACGTAGATTTAATTTAGCGGATTTTACTTATCAGCAAAAATACTGAAATTAAAACCCAGTGAATAATTATTGCATTTACAGTAAACTGTAAAATAATTTATTTTAGCTGGAATTAATTTTTACTGATTTTTACGAGTTAAATGTAATGTAGGAAAATATATATTTGTTGTATTTTATTTTCACTGAATCATTCCTGCAGTGAAAATTAATTCCAAGCGAAAATAAATTATTTTACAGTATCAGTCATGTTATGACATTTATGTATTTAATATATATTCATTATGTATTTCTTGTGTACCCCTGGTAGTCATATATTTATTATGTATTAATGTATTCATATGATTTCTCACAGGTCTCCACAAATTCAGACAAATCTGAAACAAACAGAACATCAAGAACATCAACACACAATGACTTAATCCTAACTTTACGCAATGAAGTGACACAATTAAAGGAATCTCGTCTCTGTCAGGTGTGCCTTGATAATAAAATTTCAACTGCTTTCTGTCCATGCGGTCACATGATGTGCTGTGTGCCTTGTGCTCAGGAATGTAAAAAGTGTCCTCTCTGTCGAGCAGAAATAACATATATCCAAAGAGTATTCTATCCATGCGACTGATGAAAGCAGCCTTGTGATTGGATGACATCTCATATTCAATGAGTTTTCTTTCCATGTGACTGATGAAAAAACCTTTCTGATTGGATGACATCTCATATTCAATTAGTTTTCTTTCCATGTAACTGATGAAAGAAGCATTTTGATTGGATGGTATCTCATATTAAATGAGTTTTCTTTCCAAGTGTCTGATGAAAATAATCTCCTAGTTGGATGAATCTGCTATAATCTTTCTCTTTGACTGATGAAAGCAGCCTTGTGATTGGATGACATCTCATATTCAATGAGTTTTCTTTCCATGTGACTGATGAAAGAACTTTTCTGATTGGATGACATCTCGTGTCCAATTAGTTTTCTTTCCATGTAACTGATGAAAGAAGCCTTCTGATTGAATGGTATCTCAAGTGACTGATGAATATAATCTCCCAATTGGATGAATCTGCCATAATCTTTCTCTTTGATTGATGAAAGAAGCCTGGGGATTGGATGATATTTGATAACCATCACTGTGAGTGTCCGAATTGGCATTCAGCTCCAAAAGAGTTTGAAAAAAAAATTCTGAATGAATGACATTTGGTAATATTCATACAAAATAGATTATCTCCATGTGATGGATGAAAGAAGCCTTCTGATTGGATTAAATTGTACAATGGCTGCCATAAAGATTAAAAGCTGTCTCACATCTGATACACCAGAGATAATGGCTGATATGTTACAATAAACAAATCTGATCCATCTATAATTCTGGTGTGCAAATATTTTATTAATCCTATTATTTCTGATGATGTCATTTCCTGTTAACACTTTATGATCGATAACTGAGCATAAGGCCTTAAAAAGAAGAAAAAATTCCACACAGCGCCCTCACCACCAAAAATTGTCAAATCATTTGTTTTTCACTTTTTTCCACTGCACAGCACTTGCTGTTGATAAGTTGATTAATCCTTCAAAATTTGGGTCCCATCAAATATTTTTGCAAAAGCAAAACAAAATTGCCCCATTTTTGAAAAATATTTTTACCAGAACTTTAGGCCTAATAATAGCTAGGATCATAATAGCTACCTCTAAATCTTTTGACCAATTACACCTCACTCAGTTTCATAAACAATGTATAATGGGAATTAGAATACAAATACTTTAATATACCAAATTATATCGAAAATATACAATCAGATGTTTTTATAATATAATTGTTTTCACTTTTATTTATGTACAACCTCATTACTGGTATAGTCTAACGACTATTTTGAAATACTTTTAATCAATTTATTGATACCTTCATAATGATATTTAACTGGATATTTGATAATTTTATAATGCATGCAATTTAACTTGTCATAACTTGAACATAAACACTAATACTTTTTTAGTGACCAGATTTCAGAAAGAGATTGTTATGTACTAAAGCTAGTGAGTACAAAACTAACTTGTTTGTGTGATCTGGATATCACCACATACTATGGTGTTCTGTTTGAATGACAGTACAGGTAATCACTGTTCCCTTTAATTTTTTTGAATCTTGAAAACAAATTTGCCCATTTTCCCTTGAAATATTTTTTTCTGCATACAAAATGCATGGAAAGTTTCTCAAAAGACAAAATTTCACTGAAAAACTACAATTGAATTTAAAAAAAATTGAGCGAAAATAAGAGGGAACACTGTAGGTAATGTGGGTGAGAAGATTATAGACATGAACAGTTCTGAAGAACTAACAATCTGTTCTGAAGAACATAAAAAGAACAGACATACAAAAATATTTATGAAGAACATGCACAAATAGTTTTGAAGAACACGCATACAAAATCAGTTTTGAAGAAGACTAATAGTTCTGAAGAACTCACATATACATATTTAGAGTTCTGATGACTGGATCTCATCAAAAAGAGATTCGTCTTTTGAAGAACAAGTTTAATTTCTGTTTTACCAGTACAGCATTGTCAGTTGATTATTTATCCCTAAATTATTATTTTACCTTATCAGCAAAAATAGTGAAAATAATTTGTAAATGACAATAAAGTGATCTTTAAAATTTTAGAACAATTATGACATCCATAAATCATTTGTACATGAAAATTTATAGGTTTTGTGTTTTTAATAAACATAAACACCATTACAGATATATGTCATGTGACTGTGTTACAGGGATGTATGTCATGTGAATGTATTACATTGATGTATGTCGCGTGAATGTATTACAGGGATGTATGTCACGTGAATGTATTACAGGGATGTATGTCATGTGAATGTATTACAGGGATGTATGTCATGTGAATGTATTACAGGGATGTATGTCACGTGAATGTCTTACAGGGATGTATGTCACGTGAATATTTTACAGGGATGTATGTCACGTGAATGTATTACAGAGATGTATGTCATGGGAATGTATTACAGGGATGTATGTCACGTGAATGTATTACAGGGATGTATGTCATGTGAATGTATTACAGGGATGTATGTCACGTGAATGTATTACAGGGATGTATGTCACGTGAATGTATTACAGGGATGTATGTAATGTGAATGTATTACAGGGATGTATGGCATGTGAATGTATTACAGGGATGTATGTCATGTGAATGTATTACAGGGATGTATGTAATGTGAATGTATTACAGGGATGTATGGCATGTGAATGTATTACAGGGATGTATGTCATGTGAATGTATTACAGGGATGTATGGCATGTGAATGTATTACAGGGATGTATGTCGTGTGAATGTATTACAGGATGTATGTCATGTGAATATATTACAGGGATGTATGGCATGTGAATGTATTACAGAGATGTATGTCATGTGAATGTATTACAGGGATGTATGTCATGTGAATGTATTACAGGGATGTGTGGCATGTGAATGTATTACAGGGATGTATGGCATGTGAATGTATTACAGGGATGTATGTCATGTGAATGTATTACAGGATGTATGTCATGTTAATATATTACAGGGATGTATGTCACGTGAATGTATTGCAGAGATGTATGTCACGTGAATGTATTACAGGGATGTATGTCACGTGAATGTATTACAGGGATGTATGTCATGTGAATGCATTACAGGGATGTATGCATGTGGATGTATTACAGTACAGGGATGTATGTCACGTGAATGTATTACAGGGATGTATGTCATGGGAATGTATTACAGGGATGTATGTCACGTGAATGTATTACAGAGATGTATGTCACGTGAATGTATTAAAGGGATGTATGCATGTGGATGTATTACAGTACAGTGATGTATGTAACGTGAATGTATTACATGGATGTATGTCATGTGAATGTATTACAGGGATGTATATCACGTGAATGTATTACAGGGATGTATGTCACGTGAATGTATTACAAGGATGTATGTCACGTGAATGTATTACAGGGATGTATGTCAGGTGAATGTATTACAGGGATGTATGTCACGTGAATGTATTACAGGGATGTATGTCTTGGGAATGTATTACATGGATGTATGTCATGTGAATGTATTACAGGGATGTATGTCACGTGAATGTATTACAGGGATGTATGTCACGTGAATGTATTACATTGATGTATGTCATGTGAATGTATTACAGGGATGTATGTCTTGGGAATGTATTACATGGATGTATGTCATGTGAATGTATTACAGGGATGAATGTCACGTGAATGTATTACAGGGATGTATGTCTTGGGAATGTATTACATGGATGTATGTCATGTGAATGTATTACAGGGATGTATGTCACGTGAATGTATTACAGGGATGTATGTCACGTGAATGTATTACATTGATGTATGTAATGTGAATGTATTACAGGGATGTATGTCTTGGGAATGTATTACATGGATGTATGTCATGTGAATGTATTACAGGGATGTATGTCACGTGAATGTATTACAGGGATGTATGTCACGTGAATGTATTACATGGATATATGTCATGTGAATGTATTACAGTGATGTATGGCATGTGAATGTATTACAGGGATGTATGGCATGTGAATGTATTACAGGGATGTATGTCACGTGAATGTATTACATTGATGTATGTCATGTGAATATATTACAGGCTGTATGTCATGTGAATGTATTACAGGGATGTATGTCATGTGAATGTATTACAGGGATGTATGTCACGTGAATGTATTACATTGATGTATGTCATGTGAATATATTACAGGGTGTATGTCATGTGAATGTATTACAGGGATGTATGTCACGTGAATGTATTACAGGGATGTATGTCACGTGAATGTATTACATTGATGTATGTCATGTGAATATATTACAGGGTGTATGTCATGTGAATGTATTACAGGGATGTATGTCATGTGAATGTATTACAGGGATGTATGTCACGTGAATGTATTACATTGATGTATGTCATGTGAATATATTACAGGGTGTATGTCATGTGAATGTATTAAATTGATGTATGTCATGTGAATGTATTACAGAGATGTATGTCATGTGAATGTATTACAGAGATGTATGTCACGTGAATGTATTACAGGGATGTATGTCACGTGAATGTATTACAGGGATGTATGTCATGTGAATGTATTACAGGGATGTATGTCATGTGAATGTATTACAGGGATGTATGTCATGTGAATGTATTACAGGGATGTATGTCATGTGAATGTATTACAGAGATGTATGTCATGTGAATGTATTACAGGGATGTATGTCATGTGAATGTATTACAGGGATGTATGTCACGTGAATGCATTACAGGGATGTATGGCATGTGAATGTTTCACAGGGATGTATGGCATGTGAATGTATTACAGAGATGTATGTCATGTGAATGCATTACAGGGATGTATGTCATGTGAATATATTACAGGGATGTATGTCATGTGAATGTATTACAGGGATGTATGGCATGTGAATGCATTACGGGGATGTATGCACGTGGATGTATTACAGGGATGTATGTCATGGTGTTAAATTTATTTTCATTATAAATTTGGTTCATTGCTGCACATATATAGATTTGCCTGTTCAATATACCAGTTGTTGCCATTGGTATATAGCGCCATCTGGTGGCAGCATATTATCAGTCTGCTTCAGTATTTTTGTTTTCCCGGCTACTTTATATTTTTTCTGTTCTAGAATTCCATTTAGGGCGACGGCAGCCCGTCCTATGCGTAGTTGTTCCACCTGCGTAGTTCCCATAACCTCATACAGTGTTCCGACGGGAACATAAACACCATAAATCATATGGCACATAAGCTTATGTATTCATTTGACAATTTACTTCAAGATGGCCGTATAGCGGCCATTTTATTTTTAAAAAATCATCAAAATTAAACCTTTCTGCCATTTCAGATCCTGATTTTTGTCATGTATGGATGTTTCGTTCAAACTTCGTGCAAACATTGGTGACTATGTTGTATCATAATGCTTCAGGATTCAGTGCAATTCTGCTGTGTTCAGTGTATTGTCAGTTTGTCTCTTAGATGTGATTAATGCATCTTCCGAAGCTACTCCAGACTCGAAGTCAAAAACTAGTTTGCCATGAATTTTTACACAAGAAGGATAATGTAGAAAACCACAAGACAAAGAAGCATTTATTAAATGTTTTGAAATTTGTAGACTTTTAGGTTGCTCCAAAATAAATATATTTTACATTCATTATTCGTAAAGTTCGACATTTTCATTTTCAACGCACATTGTATTTAACTTGTATTTAAATATATTTCATTTGTTTAAAGTTCTGTATGGAATTTGTGTCTGTAGTCTAAAGATGT